CCCGCCGCAGCCTCCCCTCGGGGCGGCCAGCTGCTCCGTCCTGCCCGCCGCTTAAAAACCGTGAAACCTCGTCCCGTATGACTGAAAGGCGTTTTGACAGTAGAAAGTTGCAACTTTTCTGGAAAGCTAAAGTGGTGCGGACGTAATTGCACCTTGTATTTCCGATGGATCTAAACGCACATTAAAAACAAAACCCTGTGAAAGGTCTTGCAGAGCCAGGGCGGTTTGTGTCCTCAGCTTTCCGAGTTTCATTGCAAAGCGACTCGCAGGATTTCACCGGGTTTGTTGCATGTGCTTAAAAAGAAAATGTTAAGAAGGCATGGTGGTTGTCAGAAAGCTTTATCGGTTCAGGTTCTTGCAAATCTCCTAGAGAAACCAGGTGTTTCCCTTCAAAAATGTGTGTTGAAATCACTGGATGTTGTAGGAATGAGTAGGAAGCATCATTTTAACTTTTTTGCTTTGCTTCTACTTTTGAATTTTTCATTGGCTTTTCTGCACGTCAAAGTACATATTCTGTCAGACTTCACCATTGTTGTAAGTTAGTAACGTTAAGAAGTACTGAATTTGAGGACTACTTTCCTTGTGTAAGGACTAGCAAGACAGGGACCTTAATGTAGAAGTATAACAGGATAATAAATTACGGGGATTTTAGGTTAAGACTGTGCCTCTTCAACAGAATCCAGCAACATCTTCCAGTTTGCTCTAAGTTAAATACTCACTTTTAAGTCTGTTGAGTACTTATTGAAGCTGACATCCAAAGCCATGCATGCAGTGGAATTGTTAACTAAAAATAGAGGAAAATCTCAAAAACATGGTTGGATCCAGCAAAGGTGCTCAACTGGCTTGCCCCGTCAATTCTCTGCCAAACAGAGTGAATTAAAGGAGTTATTTTTATGAAGGGAGTATTCATTTCTTGCCACTGAGAGTGCAGCAGAAATAATTGAAGTAGCAGTAGCTAATATTTTAATTACTGAGCTCTTATATCTTTATTATGTGTTTTGTTTAAGCATTCGGTAAAGAAAAAGACAAAGAGAAGAAGTTAGATGATGACAGCACCGGTACCACAGTCCCTCAGTCAGCTTTCTTGGGCCCAACATTATGGGACAAGACACTGCCATACGATGGAGACACTTTCCAGTTGGAATACATGGACCTGGAAGAATTCCTCTCGGAAAATGGCATTCCACCCAGCCCAAACCAGCACGAGCACAGCCCACACCAGTCAGGTCTCCAGCAAGCTACCTCAGCATCACCTTCTGTCATGGACCTCAGCAGCAGGGCTTCTACTTCAGTCCATCCAGGCATGGTGTCGCAGAACTGCATGCAGAGCCCGGTCAGACCAGGTAAATCAGACCTAAGAACTGCCTATGGATTTTGGCATGAGTCCTCCTCCCCAGTGTAAATAATTACTTCTCCCTGCATGGTTGACAGGCAGCTTAGAGAGAGCCAATATGATTCAAGTCACTCACACTCCAAAAAATAAAAATAATAGCTCTAGTTATTGCTAAGTTGCTCCACAGGGATTTTTGTTTAAATTGTGTAAGGAAGCTGTGGGAATTCCAAGGAAACTTGCTGATCTTCCCTTCTGCATTGATAGCCTAGCTATTAGCAAGTGAAAAGACCACAAACGGAATAGTGCCGTGGTGTTAAATGAACAGGGAGAAGGACCGTGAAAGAGAATATTCGTTTGGCCAATATTTGATGTGAGAACACAGGAGTGGGCAATTATTTTGAAGTTAAAACAAAGACAATGCTTCCTGTTTGAAATTTTGGCCATAATCTTATTCTCTGTTGAGCAAAATAAAATTTGCCACAGTACATGGGACAGGAACTAAATTTTGGAACTGCGTTATAGTCTTGCTTAAATTAACATAAAGTGAGTAACCCTGACCTGAGTTGATAAATTACATCTATAGTCACCTTGAGCTGTAGGCAAAGAAAACATCGTGGACTCCAAGTTCTGATTGTAATGCATGATTCAAACACGTTTGATGTCAGTGGAAGTCTTCTATTAGTTTATTAGCACTTGAAATCATCCCTTTAGAGACACTAGTATGAATCCAGAACAACTGCTCTGGCTTGACACCAGCAAGGCTGAGGTCATGGTCAGTGGAATAGTGTCAACATGGAAGTTTGGAAAACATGGAGCTTTGCCTTTTTTTTCTTAAAAAAAAAAAAAAAAAAAGAAAAAAAGACCAAGGGTGACTTATTTATTGTGCTCTTCTGCTCACACAAGGTTTGCTAGAGCAAAGTGTGCTCTTGGGAGCAGGAAACCACTCCTCTCCCTTCTGCTTGATCGTTTGCCACGCTCAGCGTGCGAAGTCATTGTCAGAATCATCTGATAAGGAGGCAAAATAAATAAATAGAAGGACAAAAGTTGTGGAGCAGGATGAAATAGAGAAGTCTTATAAGTCTGCAACGTTGCTTTCTCATTAAAAAGAAATAAAACACCCCCCCCAAACACCCCAAACCTGTCAACAGACTCCTTGGCCCCAAGTCAGAAGTGTGTGTTTAGTCGTGGATTTCACTTACTTACTTTTACTTTATATGGATTTGACTTTGTTTTGTATTTCAGTTTCAAGGCATTTCATAGTTAACTAATAACTTACAAGGGTTTCCAAAGTTAGAATACACTTGGAGTTGGCAAGAGCAGAATATAAAAACCTCTTGCTTTCTCTGAGCCGGTTTTTAAAACTAGTGTGTATATGCTACACCATTTTCTGTCGCATATGCACATGTAAAATTAAAAGCAGATAATCTGTCCTCATTCTTTTTTTCAGAGGAGCCTGATTATGAGCCAGGCTTTTAATGATCACCTGTCAGAATTTATTTGTAATCAGCTGTCCGCATGACTTTTCAACTCATTGATTTTTTGAGTTTTTCCTGAGCCGTTTACACCTCAGGGTTACAAACTTTTCTCACTAGAAACTCTCTATGCTTTTTTACTGTTGCAAAAGAAGTCATGTCTCTTGGGGTAGCATAAAACATCTAAATTTGCAGGTATTTTTTTTCCCATGCCATCTTGCCTTAAGCAATAATATAATTTTTTAGTTAAATGTGTTTTCTAAAAGGGAGCTCATTCAATTTCTTAAAATAATATTTTCTTCCCCCACTCCCCTTTACTTATAACTTTAATTAACAGTCGTCTGGTTTATCATCAGGTTGTTGAAGTTTTTATGTGCTGCTGTGTAAAAAACTTACTCTGACAATCTGTTTTGAAGAGAAGATCATCTTAAGAGTTTAGCATTTGAGCAAGTTTTAAAATAAGTAGTATATATTTTAAAAAACAAATTTTTAGTAAGAGTGAAAATGAGCATTTAAGGTTGTCGTAAAAGTGCCAAGGCAAATGTGCTGCTTTGAAATATGAAAGTTAGTCTGGAGGTAAATGTTAAATCGTTATAATGGAGCCTTTTGGTTAATATATCTTAAGACTTTTAAAATACTTTTTTTTAAACTGTCACACGAAGAAAGGTTTCTTTAATTGGTGTGAGCTACCATTCCAGTATGCATGGCTGTTGTGATTTGTGTTATTGTAATAACCCCAGGAACAAATAGTATAAAGTATACAATTTCAATAAAACTTAATTCCATGTGCTCTTATTATTTTTAGGAAAACTGAATTTTTTAGGTGATCATAATTCTCCTAAAAATATTTCGTTGTTGTGTCTTCTGAATTTTGTCTTGCAATGGAAGCCTGTTTGAGCGTGTAGACTCTGGCTGAAGGCAGGGTCAAATCCCGTCCTGCTTATGTCCCTACTTTAAATGGCTCCGCAGCATTAGCATCAGCCTGTCATGCGCGGTTGGTCAGAACGCCTGTACCTGCGTGTGCTGTGTACGGGGGAGGATGTACACGTGCACGTGGAACACCGAATGTGACTCACGTATGTACGTGGTGTATCTCGGACATAGAGGGTCTATGGAAGAGTGGCACAAGGAGATTTAATTTTGCATGTGTGTTGAAATACAAGCCTTATCTGTCTTTAGAAGATAATGGTATTGCCCAAATATGTATTTTATACCATCTCTGGAAGAGATCTGGAAATCTGCGTTGGCATTCACTGAGAAGTGTCATCAGGCTCAGCAGAGCTGAGCTGACCCTGATGGTAAACGTGAGATTACAGAATCCTCACTGATTTTTTTTTTCCTTAAAAGTAAAAAAATAACAAAACCAAAAAGTTTCCTTATAGGTTTAACTTGGTTCTGTATTTCCAACTTGGATTGTCTGGCTGATGGAAAAATGTTTAGGCTCACCAGTTCATCATCTGTTCTCTGGACTATAGCAAAGAATAAAGCAAGCACCTGCTTTCCCATAAATTCCTGTTCGGGGAATGTACGTATAGCAAATACCGTTTCTCTTTTTGAAGAAGAGGGACACAGGGTAATGGCTGTTGCAAGATTGAAATCTGATCTATTTCTTTTTCACAGTACCAATTCTGTTAATAAAAAAATAGTATTTTGATTTATTTCAGTATTGCAGACCACTGTTCATTGTAATGTGTAGACGCCTTTGAAACTTCTTTTCTCTCCCTGTATTGGATGCTGGTTAGTTGGTTGAAATCCGTAGTCTCCCTCAGAAAAACAGGTTTTATAAAGCTAGCTTTTAAAGTAACCTGTTACTGCAAACACATTTTCTTTGTTCTTAATCTGTTGCAGACCTTGTGTTGTCTTCTGCCATGTTTTTGGTGGAACATAAATCTCCAGTTAACTGCAGAGTCCTTTAAGGGAATTGGGAGTATTTGTAGCTGTTTGTATGTAAAGGGAGGTTCGTATTTTGCAGGTAACTAGTTGGTAGTTGCTTTTACCTGGCTCGTTTCCCTGTGTAGCCCTTATTTGGGTGAATGGGGCAGCTACTGTAAAGGGTTTGAACGGAGTGAATTAGAGTTCAGAAGCATCAGCTAAGTCTGGTGGAAGACCCGAATTAGGTTTTGGGGATTTTGTGGTTCAGATCCGAATTTTCTGTTTACCACCAAAGCTTTGGATGTAGGGCTATGTCACGGGGATGCTGCTGACACAGTGATACCCCATGTTTTGTTACTTCCCTGCTCCTTAAGGAGGCTTTGAAAAAACTCCCTCATTCTTTGAGTTCCTGTGACAGTGGTTTTCAGTCTGTGTTGCCTGGACGGCTGAGTGTCTTAGACTACTTGCAAAGGATCTGCCAAAGATTATTTAAGGAAAGAAAAAAAGAAAAGCAAGCTTTGTAATCTGCTGTGGAAATACACATACGTGCAATATCTGCAAGTCTTCACTTTCAGTTTAAAAAAAAAAATAGGGGTACATTAATCAAAAAGCTGAAAACCATTTCCATGTGAAGTGTACTTACACCTCCCACCCCCCCAAGAATACAAAGATTTTATTAAATGCCATGTTTTATTTATTCAGCCAAGATACTTCATCTAGAGCGCAGTATCCATTACCTTTTACTTCTTACATAGATACTGAACTGTAATGATTGACACAGGGCGTGATTGGGTGGTTTTCGGCATTTTTTTGTTAACTCTTGTTTGTGATAGGCACAGCAGCCAGCTGGGAGAGGTTTGTTCTTGCTCCATCCAGCCTCTCAACTGCATGCTGGGGATGACTTGGTGAAGGGGGCAGCCCGCAAAGGGGTGTGTGTGCAACACTCCCTTTATTGCAGTCTTCCTTCCCCTGTGTTTCTTAATGTGACCTCCTCTTCCAGCACAGCCTTTGTAGTGTGAAGGGCAGCATTCCCAGCAGCCAACTTCTATGTGGAATCCTCTCCTAAGCTTTAGTCATTGTTTACAAGCAGTTACTAGGTGTTGCATGAGCCACAGCGTGAGCCCCCTCTCTTAGAGTCGAAGGACTCTACCTCCAGCACCAAGAGGAGCTGGGAATTTCCTGACCTTTGTTCTCCCACGTGACAACACGGGAGTGACCAGCTAAACCATCAGGCAGGCTGGTGCCGAGAGCTGCTCTTCACATTGACTCTCACGTGAGGCTCTGGATGGCTGTTGCCTGCATGACCATGTGCTTTAGGCACGTGGCAGTCCCCTGTGCAGCCTGCTCAGCATGGCTTTTGCTAGAGCAGCAGGCACGCACACACGCCTGTGTGCTCCTGCCATTACCAGCCGATGACGAAATTGCAGTGAAATGGAAAAGCTTCACTCCGGACTGCCACGGCAAGGGAAATGCAATATGCAGACAAGCCTCACAAAACTGCTTTCTGGATCAAAGGAAGATGCAAAATATATTCAGGCAAATATTAAAAATAGCCTGTCACATGATAACAGGGGAAAAAAGTGCTGAACGCACAAGCCATGTTAATGCTAGAAGCAAGAACACTGTGTCTCCTTCAAGAGATCTAATTTTAATATTCACTGTTAAA